ATGTTCTCGAAGAAAAGTCCGAGTAATAATGAATCAGAATTTAAAGAAATTAACTAATGAATCATTTTCTTTCGTTGTTGACACCATTCCCACGAGTACTCGAGAAGAAATGGATTACTCCTCTTTTCGTATGATATTACATGTTCTTTTTTCTATCACATGCAGAGTATATGCAATAACATTTAGACATAACGAAATATAAAAACATCGGATAAATAAACTTTGTTTATATCTTTCTGTTCTCACCTTGCTTCCACTGTTTGAAGAACACGGAAGATCAATGTGTGGCAACAGATAAGACTTTCCTTTACCCTCTTTCAATTAAGACGACGCTTCGACTTCGGAGTACTTTTTCTTCACTTGTTAGCAATATGGAACAGGTATATATATGCCTGTTACAAACATATGTTTGTAAAAAAATATGTTCAAATCTCGGTTTTCTCGCTAGGAACAACCGTTTACCACAGAATCTGAATTAAATTAGAAGCTTCCAGCTAGGTACTCACAGCCGAAACAAATCTTAAGGAATCTACGATGATGAAAAATCAGCGGAATCCTCACTAGATTCTGTGGTAAATGATTGTTTCTAGCGAGGAAACCGAGATTTGGACATATTTTGTTAGAAACATATACCTTGATTTTGCACTTCGGGTAGCCCAGGCACAAAAAAATCGTTAGAAACGGCAAAACAACGCGTTTTTTAAAAACGGGTTACGAAACTCCCGTTTTCTGACCCGTTTCACGCGTTTTCTATGGGATATAATGCGTGTAAACGCGTTTCATAACGTTTGTTTCATTTTCCGTTCTCACACGTTTTTACTCCGTTTTTATCGGTTGAAAAACGCAACTAATCATTCACCGTCGTGTTTTGCGGTCAGTCGAGTATATAAGTATAATCGAAATATCGAAGAAATACCATCGTCTTTTCGTTCTTTTTCAGTTTTGTACTTTCTCTATTATATACTTTAACTATTTTTAGATCAAGTCCTACCGGGTAGTCTAGTCTCACCTTTGGCTTAACGAAAACTCTGGAACGATTCTAGAGCTGCAGACTCGACCCGTTTACGCGTTTTTATTCCGTTTTTAACGATCAAAACACACGTTAAATGTTTCATCATGAAATGCGCTACGGAACGCGTTCTGGAACGTTGGAAAACGCAAAAATAACGCGTTTCCAAGGTGTTCAAAAGACTGTTTTAACGCGTTTTTTGATCTTTAAAAACGCGTTTTAGGATCAATTTTTCTAAATGGTTTTCCACTATGAAATTCAGGAGATTTTCTCTACTTAGATATGTACAACAGCAGCAATGCCACTCCATGCAATATTGGTGCAACCAGCGAACTTGACAGATCAACCAACATCACCACAACTTCTGTCGAAGTTTTTCAATGAGATGCAAACAGTACCAATGCATCTGCCAGAAACATCTAATGAAGGTAGTTTCTATTTATGCTTCACTTATATTCTTCCTTATGGGTTATTTACTATTTGTACAGATTTGACCGATAATTTAATTACTGATGTTCCACCCACTTGTTTCAATCCAACAAATCGTCATAAACGTATTCGAGATGAAGCCGAACAAAATTAATGGAAAACCATTGAAAAATGTCAAAAACTGTACGATGTCGCTACACAACGTTCTGCATACGTCATTGGTGATTTATTTGGACTAAAAAATCGATCGAGTTGATCGTACAAATGTTACAGCCAAAATATTACCCTGTAAACTTATTTCAGTTCAAATATCGTCCCATGAAACAAATATGTATAGATTATGTACAAAAACATGTATTCTATCTACATTGTATCAAATACAAGATTTCTCGGATTTAACAAAATGTAACTTTAATGATTTACGTACGGTTGACTCATCAACACTACCAACAAAAACATTCGTTCAAGCTTGTCGGGAATACATGTGTTCCGGTGTATACATGTTCCGGTGTATATATGGTAGCAGAAGCTTGCCATTGTAAAGGTCAATGTGCCGCGAAACATTGTTCATGTAAACTTAAAAATGTAAAGTGTGGTACGAAATGTCATAGCAGGAAAAAAAACGTTTGTTCAAACGTTTAGTGATTTTGTTAGGTTTTTGCCTTGGTGACATAAAGTAATATAAAGGCATATTGTGTATATGTTTTCCTTTTTTCCCTCATTTCGATTGCACTAGGACAGATCTCTAGCAGTTTTCTCTTGTTATTTACATTCATGAGTGAATGTAAAATAAATATATAAATAATATATAATATATAATAAATAAAATATGGTAAATTCCGATTTCCGCTATAGTGTAAATTAGAATAATCTGTATGATTTTCATTTCTAGTGGAATTCGCAATTAGCACAAATATTTGATTGTGCATCTTGTGCACGTGGCAAAAATGCGAACGGCATACCAGGTAAAAAAGCTCCTATTTACGTTTGTACACAAATCAGCTAATTAATCGTGTTCCATTAGAACTTTATTGCAAACTATGTACTCTTACACGCTTGGAGCTTATTATCATAGTAAATCTCTCTATTGTAAACCAGCACAATGTTCACTATATGGAGGCATTCATGTTATTGAGAGTTCTTCCTATGAGATAAAAAGCTAATTTCATTATGTGGCTAGCTACACCATGTATTGATGAGTTTAACGTGTCTATAGCAGACGCAATATCTATTTTATGTTCAGCTCATTGTTATTTGAAATTACTTTCCCAAATTTGGTAAAAACCATAGATGTCGGATGAGAGTATTTTCTCTTGTTTTCATAGAGCACTAAAAATACACAACGATAGATTTCGAGACACTATGTATTGAAATACTCAAAACAAATGTCTTTGATAACTTCAGACAGGAATAGTCTCTATAAAACTATTCCTAGAAAATATGTCAATAGAAAAACCATTTTTTCAGTTGACATATCCTTATTACGCATTTTGTTCGATTGTACAGGCATTTGCATCTCTACATAAAAAATTCGACCTAACACGAATTTGCTTTCCCACATTGATAGAAAAAACAGACAAAACCGCGATTACTGCACATTTCCTAGTATTCTTTTACTCTTGTTCCTTATAAAATAATTCTGAAATTTTTTCAAAATTGCAAATTCGTTTTGCACAGGACAGAAGAAGATCTTTTCTCAGTAGGGAGCGCAAATTTGTGAAATTAATAAGAGAGAAAGGCTCCAAGCAGGAAAAAGTTAGCTAAGAGAAAAACTGTTGACATACTGCAGGTTTAAGTTCAAGTAGGTTGCGCAAGCAGTATGTCATTTAGGAAAGTTAGCAAGTTTCTTGCTGAAAAATGAAAGTTGCTCTTCTTTCATGATCATCCAAGAAATATGATAAGTTCAATTCAACGGTAGCTGTTCCGTAACAATCCTTGGCACCACATAGTCGGATGCCTTGCTCATATCTAGAAACACTCCTTGAACAAAAGCCAATCATTAGTGCTTGTGTGACGCGGATGTCAACAAAATTCGTGTTGTTCAAAATATATCGATGATTGAATTGATTAATTCTAGCTGTTTTTTCTCTCGGTGGGGTAATCTCAAGGGGGAAAAGGCGACTCCGGAAGTTTCTCGGAGCCCTTGAAATGCTTTCCGAAGCTTGAGATCCTCAGCATCCGAAGCTAAGGGACGCTCTCCGATGCTGAGCTATGCTAAGAAAGAAAAAAGTCGCCTTTTCCCCCTTGGATAATCTGCTTACACTACAAGTTTCAAATGGCACCAGCTTGCTTATCAAATTATAATAGCAACTTTTTGTTTGCCAGGATATTGGGAAACAACTTCTTTTTGCAGTATAGCAGATTGAAAAATACAAAGGAAAAAAATGGGATAAAAGTAGTTTTTGTTTGTATGGGAGAACGATAACGTTGAGTCCGTCAAAAGTCTTTTAAAATCCGTTGGGTCGCATTTGGCTCACTGTTATCTTCAATTAACAGCCGAGTTCGACATTTGGTACAGACAGATTGATGCCTAATTGGATACACCCTGTCTATCTGACTTGAAGAGAAACTCAAAGCTTTTTTGCCTTGAATTTTAAGATGAATCTGCAAAGAGTAGTTTTTCATACATCCACTCGAAAAGACCATACGGTCCAAATGAACACGAGATTCAAACACTTTTTCTAATTACATCTGTATGTTTTCTCAGTTCATATCACGTCTGTTCTGTGTATGGCCCTTGTCTGCAGGCCACCTGGCAGTGTTATATAAAGTTCAAAATCTTGCTAGCAGAATTACTTTAAAAGACTACAATAATCCATCAAAATTGCTTCTAACCAAGTTAAAGTTGTCAACACTCTAGTCACTTAGCTCATTTTTTTAAATTGTTTAATGGTAAAAGTGCTCTTTCTGCTTTAAACTTCATTATAGCATCTAATGTTTGTCTATCAATCAGAAAAGATCATCATAAATGTATTGATGAACGATTTTATTCTCTAAAATCAGTGGATGGTCGACCATTGTTAATCAATCCAGTTATCTCATGTATAAAACTATGTCAAAGCAGCATTTAAAACTTACATAGTAGGTCTGTTTTCTCTCTCTTTTTCTCTCCGTGCTATATCTTTCTGTAATGCAGGTATATGACATATACCTCTACTACGGAAAAAAGAAAAACACGAACAGAGTGGGTGTCCGTTCGTGTTTTTTTCTTTTCTCTTATTTTTCTGGTGTTACATTTATACAAGATTTAACATCTTTTTCTTTTGTGATTCCACCAGTGCTTAGCAAAAATAAACATTTTCTAAGGTTTCTTTCCACTTTATTGAGGCAAGTGCAGTCAAATCGACATCATTTGATACAATTAGAAAATCAATTTATTGAAAGTATAACAAATACCGGATTAGCATCAGATAATCTGCCGGATGTACAGATGAATGGAACAACGCGAAAGCATGAGTATGCTCTATATTTGGATCTACAAGTGAACATAAAGATGAAACGATACTAAGATGTGTTGCTGAAATTGTTTATAAAAGTACATTAAACACACACACAACTCTTGTGTAGGATCCTTGCCTGAACTCGAGGGAATCATAGCAAAGTAACTGTCGGTTGTTTTAAAGTAACCGTTGCAATTTTTTCAAGCGACAAAATACATTCTTGTAGAATTACAATACACATTTAATTATATCACAATGTAGAGATGTCCGAATAATCTGAAATCAAAGTAAACGAGTCAGTCTAATCGAATGCAAAATGACAAGTTTTGATTCTTTGACAAAACTAATTATTTTTTATTTCTTTAAAAGTTAAATCTATATAAAAAGTAGTGTTTCACTTTTTAAAAAATAAATGTAAAATTGTAAATTCTGCTTCTCACGTTCGATGCAGTTTTCTTTTTTCTTTCAACCCAGCAAAGAAATTTTGTACTATTTGTAATATTCTTACTTTGCTCAAAACTGAAATGCGAGAAAAACGAAAAAAAAATGTGATTCAATTGTGTTAAACGATATGGAAATAAGAACATTTGAAAAACTTACC